CTGCCAGACATATGAATTGATATGTGTCCTCAGGCTCTCAAAGATTACTGAAAGTCAGGACACAAACCAAGAGAAGTAAAGCATTCTCAAGCCAAAGCTACTGCAGGGTTCCTCCTTCGCCCCACTGTGAGTAATGTGCTAACCTAGGTGTCCCAGAATAGTTATTACACAATCTGTGTGCTCCATGCTCTGAGAACAATGACTGAGAACAATGAAGCACAGCTAAATGTGCTAAGGTACTGTGGCAGACACACCTCAGCGTTTTTTCTGTTAGTTTTTGTTAATTTGCCTGGAGGAGGAGGGTGTTTTTATCTAGCAACACAGGCACTGTAAACCATACTCTTTTCTGTAACTGTCAGAAAACAGTCTGTAAGTCAACGCACAGGGGGGGTTTTTTTGGTGGTTGGAGTTTTTTCTGTATGCCTCTGCCTCATGCCCTTGCCTGCCTTGTCTGTTTAGACTAAATTCTTCCGGTGGCAGGACACAGTATCACAGTTTTCGCAGTGCCAAGCACAGCAGGACCCAGTTTTTACTGGCCCATGTGAACTGCTATGAAGCAACAAGCAAATAATAATAATAACTTACCACACATCACTGTTGCAGATCCTTGCAGAAACCAAGGGCCAGACACTCCAAGCAGATAAGCTGGCAGGAGGAAACCTGCACTGCCGGCCTCTGACTGAGTAGGTGATAGTATTTGATTGCAGACACCTCTCCTCCCAGTGTCCTCATTCTTAACATGCAACATAAAATGCATCCCTGGGCACAGACAGCAAAACTAACCCACCAGATCCGCCTCAGTTCAACACAGCAGTAACTCCCTGCTCCTCCAGCCCTTACAGCCCCTCCAGGTGTTAGCATGAAGAGTTGTGCTGTCTGCCTGGTGCAAGACAAGCAACAGGATGTTTAATGGTCTATGCTCCTGTTTGAGCCAGACATAAGCTGAAACTCTCTCTCTCCACATGCAACTTGGATATCTGGCAAGCCTCAGCGAGACACGTTTTCCTCTTGGCCTCCTTTCTTTATTTCTAGGCCCAGTGCTCACACTGAAGGGAGCAGAAGAGGGGAGGGGGAAGGAGGAGAAACAATGGAGGGGCACACCAAACAAAGAGCTGTAACTTGCAGAGACCCAAGGAAACCATAGGGAAATGAAGATACATTCTCAGAAAATATAAAACCTGAAGAAATGTTCTTGTATGCAGCATAAAAACAGATTTGGAAGGGGTGACAGAGACTGACTAGCACTCAGTATCACATCATCTGAGGCAGGGAAGAGATATCAGGCAGGGGGCTGGGAAGCAGCAACCAGCTGCCCCATATGGTCAGCTCTTGGTAGGCAATTTGATTTTCATTTTCTCCGCTCATTGTGTTCATCCCTGTGGTATCTGGATGAAAAACAGTGGAGGAAATAATAGGACAGGCTTGCCCAGGGCATTTTTAAGGGCTTGAGAGCCATTCATTCATAGACCAAATGTAGACCAGGATGGAAGCAGGTAATCTGCTGACTGTTTGTTGTCGTATATGAAATGTTCCAGTGGTATTTCACAAGTATCCACATAAAAATTGAATAATTCACAACTTTCTTAGCATTCTCAGCAGATAGCTCAGCCTCCGCAGCCTCCCAGGACTCCACAGCTTCTAAGTACTAACGACTTAGCTCTACAAATATATGTAAGCACACAAGTCTATGCAGGTTCCGGGTGTAATTGTGGTCTATCCCAAAAATGGTTTGAGGCAGTGAAGAGTAAGGTAAGGTGTGGGAAAGATCCCGTGATTGTACCTGTTCTGAGAATAAAAGGAGTTCTTCATTCTCCTAGGCTATTAATCTGGTACCTTCCATGAGCACAAACCTGGAAGAGCTAATTTAGATACATGACCTTCCGTTGTCTTCCATGTGTTTGCAGGATAATAAGTGACAATGGCGGCGCAGTACATCTATTGCAGTTTGTCTTGCAGAAACAAGATAATTTATTATTGTTGACATCATCATTTTAAAATAATTGAATTACATCTAATAGAAGAAATCCTCATACAGTTACAAAACAGTCATCCTCAAGTTGTCCTGCTATCTAACACTGCCTTTCCACCAGTTTTCTCCAAAGACTGCCAAAATAAAGATTAATTAATATATATGGACAAACAATTAAAAATCCAATGAAAAAAAAAATTTCAGCCCCAAAAGCAGGGCTGTTAGGACCTTTTTGGTGTGTCCTGTCAGACACAAAAGAAAGGACATCATACAAACTCACTGATACAACACACATATCTCTCAATGCCAAGCCTGGCTCTGATACCTATGTTTCATTCCTCTAGAGAAAAAAAACTATTTTACAATGACCAAATCTCACAGTGGTGTAAATAAATAATTTAAATGGAGGGAAATTATTGTATTTATCGGAACACACAAAGATGTGCCCCAAAACTTTTTTGTTTAAATAAACATTGGACAAAAACTATAAGGCTAGAAAAAAGTTATTCCTTTTTCTTATTCATGATGGAAATCATCACTGCTACTGTAATTCAGCTGCTGATAAGGATGTTCAAAAACCACATGGTGAGACAACATAGCCTACATTTACCTGGGAGTCAGGAGACCTCCACAGCCTTAAACAAACCATCCATGCACCTTCCCACTCTGTCTCACCATTTGAAAAGCTGCCTGTCAATGAGTACCTGCACGAAGCTGGTACTGTGGTTCATACCCTGCATGGGACCTTGTAGATGCTACTGTAACACAATTAACAGCAACAGTTCTGAATTAAGCTGGAGAAGTCTTTAGCAGCAGCTAGGGTGAGCCCTTCCAGAAGGCAACAACAGAACGAATGGTAACTCAATGAGAAACTTGAACTGATAGGAAGGTTTCCCATTTGGATAAAAACTTGACAACCCTGGACCAGCAATGCCCCCTTTCTATGATGACAGCCAATATATACTCCTCCCAGGAACGTTCAGCCTTCCAGGTGGTGGCTCTCCTCCCTACTCTTCAACTGCAATCCCCACTTTTGTGTGTGCATGTGTACAGGAGCACAAGCATAGAGGAGAGGCCAGATTTTATTGTAATGTGCGGGGCGGGTGATTCAAGTCTTTGTGTAGGAAGTTGAGTCACCTCCTTCTTAGCAAAAAAATGTTCAACACCATTGTAATTCCCTCTTTGTCACGTAAAGTCCAGCAATGTATGCAGAAACTTCCAGCTCCGTATTTCCTAAACAGTGAAAGCGTGCATGGAAAGTTTAGCTTTAAAAACGTGTGACTGCAACAAAACAGGTTTGCCCCTTCGTGTCGGGTATCATGAATCCCTGTGGCTCGGCGGCAAGGAAGGAAAACCGGGAGGGGGGGAGTGTTTGCTTTTGCGGAGGGGGGCGAGTGTTTTGGGCTTATTTAGTAACGCGCTAGTAAACAGCTCAGGCAGAGAAATGCAGCGCAGTAAGAAACTGTGTCACCCTTTGGAGCATACTGCTTTAAATTTGCGCGCTGTAGCTTGAAGCGTTGCACAAACTCTTGGTCTGCTGACTGCCTCCCTGGAACACAAACACACCGGTGATTGGGAAAGCTGTTTTCCAGCTTGCCCTCCCTCCTTTCTGCCGGGCTGCTTTTGGTGTTTATTTATTTTTAAACAAGTCTTGTGCATGAAAAAAAAAAGAAGAAAAAAAAAAAAGAAAAAGAAACCGAACCCCAACCACACAGCATTTTTAATCAACACCTATCTCCTTCCAGGACCCTATGATCCTCTATTGATTCCCTTTAAAACGCTTTTCTTTTTCTTTGCCCCCTCTGCTGATCGAATTTCAGATCAGCCAGGATATGCAACTAACCTTCCGGCACAACTGAACCCAACTGACTCACGGAGATCAAAAGGCTTGATGCATTCATTAAAGCGTAGCACAGCCCAGGCAGGATCTTTAACGCAAGCTCTCCCTTTGCATTGCAATTAACGTGGGGGAGAGGAATTCTTTATTTTTATTTTTTGCAAACGTTCTTGCTTTTGATTTTCAGGCTGGGGAGGGGGGGCGGGGGCAGGAGCGGTGGGAGGGAATGAGAACAAAAGAGAGATCTTTTTACCCGAGGATGACGTCAGTTTGATTCTACTGACAACTACTGATGCACGTGGAGCAGTCGCGGGCAGATCCCCCTCCCACCCCCTCTCTCCCTCCCTTGCTCCCTCCCTCCCGCATGGCACGTCTCTGGGATACAGTATACGCCGACAGCCCACGGGCCGAACCACAGGACCCTTCCAGCTCCGGGCGCCCTCGCCCGGGCCATCAGCTGCCCGGGGCCTCGCAGAAGGCGAGCAGCGGAGGGAGGGGGCGGAACAGCCCAGGGGCAGGGAGAGGGGACAAGGCTCCAGCCAAAGAATGTTGTTCGTTACCGCGGCCTCCGCGGGGACGCGGACACAGAAAATAGTCCCCGTGCCCCGGACCCCGCGGGGCTCCCGCTGCCCCACTCAGGGCCCCGCCAGCCCCAGGGACTGGGGGTCAGCGCTGCCTCGGCCTGCCGTGAGGGGCGGGCTGTGACCGTTGGGCCTCCGGTCGGCCCGCCTCCCGCGGCCGCGCCGCGGCCTGCAGCGGGGAGAGCGGCCCCGCCGGCGAGGGGCCCGGCTGCGCGCAAAACCCGGTCTGGACCCTCCCGGAGCGCGGCACCTCGCCGGGGCGCGTAGGAGGGCGCTCACCGCGGGCTTCCGCGGTGCTGTGAGGGGAAGGTGGAGGTGTCCGTGGGGAAGCACGCTCCGTCCCGCGGCCCGCCTGCCACCTCAGAAAGTCACGGCTGAGTCAGGGCTGCAGCTTCTCCCTCTCAGCCCCTCATGGGGCTCCTCGTTCTCTCACCGGCAGGAATCCTTCGCTCCCCTCACCTGCCTGTGTTCAGCACCCCCGAGTTAGGAACGCTTTCTAGGTTCAGAACTAATTGCCAGGAAGGTTTAAAAGTGAACAGAGGAATCTCCATTTTGTGCTCTGTAAGGAATCTGAACAGACTGTCCATGGGCAGGCTGAGCCTTGCTGGCTTGAGGACTGCTGTGTACCAAAGGACCGAGGTCCCCCATTGCACAGCCCCCTTCAGATACTATCCCACAGACCTTCTCTTGGGACTGGGAGGTGAGGCAGTGCCTGCCGTTTTAAGCCTTGAGGTCCTTTCCAAAAATACATGCAAGTGTTCTCCTAAATGCTGTGAAACTGGCCCGAGCCTGTGAGGATTTGGGATTGTGCACAAACCAGCCTGTCTGTCTTGATGGAGCCAAGGAGATCTGTACACATTCTGCGTGCAGGGTTTCAGGTGAGCCAGCCAAAAGCTGTTCATCAGTAATCACCACTACCACTCAAATCTGTGTCTCTCCAGTTTAGAGACAAAGATGCCATGCGGGACAGTGTCAAAGAGTTTGCATAGATCCACATAGGTTGCATCAGTCACTGTTCCTTTATTCACCAATGCCATAACCCTGTTGTAAAAGGCCATCAAATTTGGCAGGCACAATTTACCTTTAGTGAAGCCATGTTGGCTGTCAGGAATCACGTCCTTAATGTCCATGTGCCTTAGCATAGTCTCCACTAGGACCTAGTCCATGATCCTGCCAAGCACTGCAGTGAGACTGAGCAGCCTATGGGTCCCCAGGTCTTCCTTTTTACCCTTTTTAAAAATGGGTTTTCCTTTTCCAGTGAGTGGGAACTTCACCAGACTTCTAGGACTTCTCAAATATGATGGATAATGGCTTGGCAACTTCATCTGCCAGTTCCCTCAGGACCTGCGCATGCATCTCAGCATGTCCCATGGACTTGTGCACCTTCAGGTTCTTTAGAAGGTCTCAAACCTGATTTCCTGTAGTGGGTGGCTCTTCATTCTCCCAGTCCTGCCCATGCTTTCTGTGATTCAGGCTTTGTGGTCGGAGCACTTGCTGGCGAAGATGAGACAAGAAAGTCACTGAGTACCTCAGCCTTCTCCTTATCCTAGGTAACCAGGTCACCCATTTCCTTACAGAGAAGGGCCCACATTTCCCCTAGGCTTCCTTTTATCCCCAGTGTACCTATAAAATCTTATCTGTATGTCCTTGGTATCCCTGTCCAGATTTAATTGTCAGGGCTTTAGCATTCCTAGCCTGATCCCTGGCTGCTCAGAAGGCCTCCTGGCCTTCTAGCCTGACTTCCTCTTTGTTGGGATGTATCACTCCTGATCTTGAAGGAAGTGATTCCTGAATATTAATTAGCTTTCTTGAGCCCCTCTTTCTTCCAGGGCTATATCCCATGGTACTCTACCAAGCGGATCCCACAAGAGGCCAAAGTCTGCTCTCCTGAAGTCCAGGTAGTGAGTTTGCTGCGCCCTCTCCTCACTGTCCTAAGGATCTCAGACTCCACCATTTTGTGGTCACTGCAGCCAAGGCTGCTCTTGAGCTTCATATTCCCCACTCTCCCCTCCTTGTTGGTAAGGATAGGGTCCAACATGGCCCCTGTCCTCATTGATTCCTCTATCACTTGGAGAATGAAGTTATTATCAATGCATTCCAGGAACCTCTTGGATTGCTTCTGCACTGCTGTGTTTACCCTCCAACACATACAGGGGTGGTTGAAGTTCCCCATGAGGACCAGGGTCTGTGAACCTATCTGTCTATAGGCCATACCTATCTGTCTATAGAGGACCTCATCCCTCAGTCTTCCATGTTTAGTAGCCTGTCAGAGGCCTCCACTGCAATATCCCTTGTCCTGGCCCATAAGCTCTGGGTTGGCTTCTCATCCATCTCTAGGCAGAGCTGTGCACACCCCAGCTGGCCACTAACATAAAGGGTGACACCCCTTCATTGTCTCCCTTGCCTGTCCTTCCTGAAGAGCCTATATCCTTCCATGTTACCCTTCCCTGAGCCATCTTTGCTTCTGTGCAATATGTCTTCCTTTACGTATTAAATTTCGTCCACTAATTGACAAGTACACATCTTACTTGGAGTTCTGCCCATTTTTTACATTGAGCATGTGGCTCTTTTTGAACAAGGTGTAGCTGCAATTTGCACTGGTGTGCAGTTTTCACTCATTTCATAAATGAACTTCTTGTAATATCGTGTTGTCAGCTCTCGTGATTTTTTTGTGATGCTGATTTCTGTGGTAGAAATTCTTTTAAAGCTCCAGTTCCCCAAGTCAAGGAAGAATTTTGGCTTTCATCTGAAAGGAAAAAAGTCTGTTTCTGGTCCTTTTATTTGCAGCAGAAACTTACATTATGTTCTGTAGCAGCTCTGGAACCAAAAAGAGAAGAAACATAAATGTATTATTATGACCATCATTGGTACTGTTTTATTTTAGTTCTCTCGACACTTGCATCCCTGATTCTTTATAGCCTGGCCATACTTAATATGAGACAGGGATAAATGGATTTGTGCAGCTTACGCAAGCCCTTACTTCTCTGCTTGGAGGTCTCAAATATATTTTAAGTTGAGATAAATAATTGTTATTACTTACTGTTTACACTATTTACACTTACAGCTGTGACACACACAGGCATGCAGAGTTTTGCTCTGCAAAATCAAGGTGTGTACCTATTCTTTGTTGCTTTGAGGGAGTGTAGTTCTGGTAGCTGAGTATATGATTCTGTCTGGATTATTACTTTTCTGTAAAAATAACTCATTTATGATTTTTACATGTTAGTAACTCAGTAGAAAGCTGTGTTGTGCTAGGACAGGGGCCATTTTCTCTAGCTGTGTGTAGCTTTTCACAGTTTGACATGGGAGAGAGCTTCAGGAGTTTTTAGCTCTATTTTTTTCTCAGATATTTCCATGCAGAATTTACAAGTGGAACAGATGTTTGCAGAGGTTTACTTTGTCTTATCTTAGTTCTCCATAATTGACAAGTAGCCTGTTACATCTTTCCATACCTAATAAGCAAGATTTCCCTCACTGTTTTTTTACCATGACAGCATTCATCCATGTCTTAACAGTTTTGACTCCTCACCTTGTCACAGGCAGGGTAACAATCCCCACCTGCACACACACACTCATGCACATGCTCTTCACCTTTCAGAAGATACTTGCCATGTGGTTTCAGAGGAAGGGCTATTCTTTCTCAAGAGGCTGCATTGTCAGTGTCACAGTTTGGGGTACCCTTCCATTGACTGCCTGAATCTCTCTGCAGTTATATTCCTGTTTCCTATTCCCTTGTGCCCCTAATTTGGCTGGTTGAAACATACACCTCATCACCACTCCAAGTTTTATGGCAGAACCAGAAGAAGGGGTAGGTTCACTCCATCGCAACCATGGCAACACTTTCCAAAGATGCAGCCTACAGTCCCTGTGAGTCTTCCAGTTTTCCATGGCAGCTTTGTTTCTCAGAAGCTTACGTCGACCCCAGGAATAACCATGTTGCAAAATGCCTAAATTGCTATTTGGTAAAATACATCCTTACCATGTACAAAAACGGGTGAGCTTTCAACTTCCTTTAAGAACTGAGCAAAAAGGAAAGGTGAGGAGGGTTCATGTAGCTTCTGTTTCAGAAAGACCCTGTCCTATTAAATCAGCCAGATTTTTTAAAGCCAAATCTCAGTTGTGTTCTCACTCATTGTTAAAGCAGCACAGAAAAAGATCCTCCTTTGTCTTTATGCTACCTGTTTCCTGAAGATAGTTGATTCCTCTGAGGCTTTACACTTGGACACCTATTGACCTAGGGAGTTCAGAGGCAAATATTTTAGTTTGCTGTCCTATTCTTCTAAATCATTTTAAATTCAGGCAGCTCCCTAATTTTAAGAATGTTAAAGTTGTCTTTCTGTGCTTTAATAGGGCTTGTTAAGTCATGCATTAATACAAGAAATGCCAAGAGTTTGAAATAATGCATACAGAAGGGTGGACTAAAACATCATAAGCCAGAAATTATTTTGTGGAAGACAATGATGGAGAATGAAACCAAACTTTTAATGGAACCTTATAGCCTGTAGTATCAAAGTCAAGAGAAGAGCTCCCACAGCCTACAGTAGCAGTGGATGTGGACACTGATATCTGCGATCAGTCTGCAGCCTGAAATAACACTGGATTCAGCAGTAGTATGTTTTTTACAATGCCTGTATAGATACTCATTTCCCAAATTTGAGGTCTTGACCCATATTTCTATTCTGAGTTCTTTTGAGTTGAGCAATGAAAAGACATTAGACAGCCTTTCTTCTAATATGCATCATGCCTTTCTCATGCAGCACCAGCGCCATGCCATAGGTTTGTTCCACAGATACTACTGAGGTTTATCTGTCTTTTAACAAAGTTGTATCCACTGGAGTATTTCTTAATGGAAACATTTCTATCACAGTTAAGTCGGTAACAAGGTATTAAGTCGGTAACAAGTTATTAAGTCGGTAACAAGGTATTTGACACAGAGCCTAAATTTTGAGCTAAACATAGCAGGAACCCTTTAAGCTTACTTTATCTCACTTGTTACAAACTTCTGGAAAGATTTTGTCTCACTCAGAATTTGTAGATCACCAGTTAGTTCAAGCATGAGATGTCCTTCCAGCTGAAGAAGCCAATGCTGTTGCTGTCAAATTAACTGGGAGAACAGTTGTTCCATGTGCTCACACTGATTGTATGTGGGATATCTCATTACACTGGGGGCAGTTTTGTTGTTTTAAATTATAAAGTAGCTTAGTTTTATTACAGTGTCCAGATTCAACTCATTTGTCAACATGTTGCATTTCATTATCCTCATCAGCTCATTTATTTTTCCTGAGGGGGAAAAAACCTGAACCTCATTTTATTTTATAAAAGTCAGGATTCTTTCCAACTAGAATAACTTCTGTTTATCCAGTGCTGTGAAAGGTGCCCTTTCCACTGTACATGTATGTGCTGAAGAGCACATCTGCTACTCCAGTACTTTTTTCAGTAGCATCTTTTTGTCTAAGATGAAAAGGATCCACTCGTAAGTCCTGGACAGACAGACATGCTCCTAAAGGAGGAATTATGCTTTCAAGATATCCCCTAGAGCTGTATCCAGCCACAGCATACTGTAGATGTTACATTTTTTGTACACTGCAGCTTTGCTAATATTTGAATACATGCCATAATTCAGTGGGAGCATAAATAACTTCCACTTAGAAGATAGATGCTGTGGTAGCAGGCCAAATGGTAAGCCTTGTCAGAGCCTTTTTCACTGTGTCAACCATACAGCATAATATTATGCTCCTTATTTAAATCCTCCTTGCAGATGTCATACTGGGTTAATTGACAAGCAGCTGGATTTTATAATGTGTATAATACAAGCATCTATTGATACTTGTGATAGTGAGGATGTGCATGTAGTGATTGTGGGGTTACAACTCTCAGCGGTGGGAGATGACTAAGTCTGTGGGTCACAATATAAATTTAAGCTGCCAAGGGGGGTCAGCATTAATTTACATGCAAGTTTAGATTGATAATTCTTTATAGGTATGGAGCATTATTGGCTGTAAAAGAGTTGTCCTTGTACCTGAATTGTTTTAGAGCAGCAGAGCTTTATGCTGTGTTAACAGCATGCTGTTAAGAATCAGTACCAATGTAAACACAGAGAATGATAGGTTTATGTTGGCTGTTATATCATACAGTATTTCACAGTTCCTGAAATCATTTCATCTTCAACTAAGTTGCTTTGGCTTTGCCAGTCTGTCAGCAAAGACTGAGCAAAGTGCAGCACTGTAAATGAAATGAAACTCTGAGCTCTCCAGATAGTAAACGATGGCTCTTCTGTTGAGCTGGAATTCTGTAACAGCACTTACTAATTCCAGTTTATATAATACAAAGTCATTTGCCATTTCACTTTTTTCTCTGAAGTTCATCATTATATTGCTAAGCTTTCATATGAACTTATGCCATTCTAAGTCAGAGGGGGCAAAAAAAGGAGGGAAATAAACTGAGGAAAACAGGACAGACAAAGACTATAATGAGATGAGAATTAGGAAGGAGAAATAGGGGGCATCAGAAGAGCAAAAGATTATGGAAGGAAAGGAACAGTATATCATAGGAGAGGTGGGAACAAAACCAAGGGAGACATTACAAGTGTAGAACAAAATAGGGGAAATTAATATAGAAGATGAAAAAAAAAAAAGTAACAGCTTTCATTTCTTTCAGGAATTTTAGACTCATCACTAGCAATCCTACTTGCTGCGATTCACTCTGTTTGCCTCTTACCTCAGAAATACACCTCTGTATAATGAGTTTCCCCTTTCATTTTGGCACCTGGCTTGCTCTTGTATAGGACTAGGCCTCTAGAGGTCACTGAGGAGAATTGGTTTCTAATAAAGCTCCTCCATACCAGAGTTTAAAAGCTCTCCCACAATGTAGTGCACAATGAAAATTGACACCGCCAAATAGCTTTAGTTTCCTTCTTTCCTTTTGCTTTCCTTTTTTTTTTTTTTTTTTTTGATGTTATGCACTTTTTTGGGCATCTGCAGATCTGAGTTAAATTTTTCTGCTGAATATTGAGCATATAGCATGAAGAAGTAAGCTATAACCAAATATATATGCATATATGCGTGTGTGTATATACTTAAAAACTACAGTGACATAGCTTTTAGTAAGGTGGTTTGTTTCTAATCGTGTGAGAATAAGCAGATGTGAGATGCTTCCTCTATTATGAGCATTTATATGAGCTGTGTGGTCAGAGGTGCTTAGCAGTGAATTTGGCTCAGGGCAAGAGAACAACAGCAGTAATTTGAGGAGTGATTTACTCCTGTTAACACTTTTCAGAATTGGCAATAAAATCAGTTCAGTGCTCTTAAAATATGAAGGGCTGGATTTTAAGCAAAATATGGAAGATATATTATCAACCTGAAAAGCGGTCAGGTGAAAAACTGTTTAATACCTAAGAAAAAAGCCCATATATGTATTTCCAACAAGTGAACGATAATGAGAGGGCTGCTCCCTTTTCTTAGAAGTGATTAAGTTTTCTTTGCCTTTCTGGTTTGGCTGCTTTTAGGCTATTGCTTATGTAAAACAGAGCACCTCCTAAGCCCTCGTTTACTAAACAGAGTATCTGGCTTCTGATCTCATGCTACACAAGGAGGTAAATTGTATTCTGTGTGAGGAGCTTTACATGTGACCGTAATGGAAGGAGGACAAAGACACTCCTCCAGAAACAACAAAGACACTAGGTTTGAGATACTTAAAGTTGGAAAGTACAATTCAAACATGGAAACAATAAATCAGTTTTCGTTATACCCACAGGTATTTATTTTAGCAATTTTCATTTTGCTTTTCTCCTCTCTTAGCAAACCTGTGTGGCAGAGTTTATTTAACAGTGTAGGACAGTTCTGCTCTGAAGTGGTGGAATGCTTTTCTGAGGGATCAGCTTCCAAAGGTGACAGTCAGAGGGCACAGCAGGGATGCTGACTGCTTGCTCAGTCCTGAGTGTTCTCAGACAAGAGGGGATTCTCATAGCTGTGAGCAGTCAGTGATGAAGTGATGACCACATCCAGCTGTGCTATCACTAAGATAGGTTGCTCAGGTGCGTTGCTGTACCTCTGGTATGTGAGGGCATAGGGTGCATGGCATAGGACTTGAGGGGTATCCAGTCTTTCACGCACACTGATAAATTTGTACTTTGTTCCAAGGTGCGAGAATCTCGTCTTCAGTCTGCAGACCGACTCCATGCAAAAAGAATATGGCTTATTAGATGGTGGTATCCATTCAGTGATATGTCATGAAGTAGCAAATGCCAAAGTGTCTGTATACCTGTATATGGACAGAAGCAGTTCTTCTGCAATAGCCATCAGCTGAAAGGAGGAACCAGCTCAGTCCCAGGAAATACAGACAAAAATGTAAGTGCAATTTTTGCTTCTATAGACACAGATAGTTTATCTTGTCTGTCACATTAGAGCTGCTGAGAATAGCTCCAGGCAAAGTGTTCCAATACAGGAATGACTCCAAGGAGTTAGTGCACTGGCATTTGACCCATGCTGATGCATTGGAGTTAAAAGTGCAAGACCAAATGAGAGAAAATCCACAGACAGTAGCACATGAGACTGGACATACTGTTGAATTGTTGGACACAGTTATTTGAATTACGGTAAATTATTATCTATATATGCATGCAGACATGGGATTAGGACAGGAATGTCCAAGAATGAATGGAGGTAGAGATAAAATGAGAGCATGAATAATGGGGTATTCTGTTTTAGATCCCATGCTTTGGAGGTTGGCAAAGATCCCAACTCATTCCAGCCTAATATATACAGGGTCATCACCAAAACCATGTGCTAAGCACTACTGAATTACTGTGTGTTTGGCCAGCTGCGAGATGTGCAGAGCTCTGCCTACTTACTGAGGGCACAGGGACAGCAAGAGCTCTGGAGGAGCTGTAAGAGCCTCCCTTTGTTTACAGGTGGTAGAGGTTGTGTCATACACCTGGCATTTGCCTGGCAGCCATATAGAAAGTTTTAGGACTGTATGTCACAGCAGAGAAGTACCTCCTTCAAGAAGGAGTGCCTTGTATGATATTAGCCATTGGGATCTGCCAGAAACATGCTTAGCTTTGTCAGGGGGACTGGGTGGAGCAAAGGGAAAATCAGTAACTTTTATCAGAAATCATGAGGTAATTGCCTTTTCTCTCTGGAACCAGGCACACAAGTCTCTGGCAGCAATACCTGAGAAAGCTTTATAGTGAAAAAGCATTTGTGTTTCTTCCTGAAAACAAAATGGGGGGGTGGGGGGGGGGGGGGGAAATCAGTCAAAGATGCTTCTTCTGAGGAACTCTGTGCAAATTTGCTTCACAATTAGACACTTGGAAGGCACCTAACAGGGTTGTCTGGAACCCATTTAAGAGAAGGACAGGGGGCTGCCTATTCTGTCCATGGCTGAGGAGGGAACTGGGGCTCTTATCATGGGTGATTTGCAAACATCCAAAAGAGAGCCTTCCTTGTACTTTGGGGGCTGGAGGCCCAGTTCGTATTTGGTGTGGCGCTGTGTCACCCAGAATATATTCTTCCTAGAGAGTCGTGCCTGGTACCTACATTGTTTTCCTCATTCATCATACACCGGGCATGCATTAGTGACAGCACCATAGGAAATTGTATTCTTCATGCTAAATTGCATATATCTACCTGTCAGAAGCCTGCACGTTATCCCAGCAAGGGCCAAGGCTTGACTGCTTCTTAGTAGTCTGGTGCAGAATCGTACATTACACAACTACCCTGTGTTCAAATGAGCCAATACCTCAGACAGTAGCTGTTGCAAACCAGGATGGCAGCTGTCTGTGGATATAATCACAACTGAAGACATACTGCCAGGGCTTCTGTGTCCTGGTTGCACAGCTAGGGGCAGAGCACTCAAATATTTCTAAAGCTAGATATGCAAATGCCTCTGGAATGAAGCCTTTTACAGTTCTGCTCTCATTAACCTGATTTGCATATGTAAATGACCTCTTGCCACATGATAATGAGGTCTGCTCATGCAGAGATGTTCAGCATATAAGGAGAGGGTTTTCAGTGACAGTCAGCATTTTGGCCAAAGCAGCTGGTACAAGGACAAGACCAAGAAAGAAGTAAAGGCAGGATCTAGGGACAACAGGGCAGGGAAGCAGAAGGAAGCAAAAGAAAATCAAACACTGCAGACGCTTCCTCCAAATGCCAAGGGCGTCTGCAGTTCTAGTGCCTTACTGGAGAAATTTCATAGTGGAGTCTGTGAAATGAGAGCAGCTGGAGGACACTGACAATTGGGAAGTGACCTGTGGCGTGGAGCTCCATGGAAGATAGCGGATGTCTGGCTATCGTAGAACAGCAAGCATGTGGCCTAGCATTCACTGGCTGGTTTAAAGCAGCCGCTTCCAGCTATTCCTGTGAGTACCATCACAGAGAGCTGGACACATGGCAATGGGTCCGTCCTTCTTCAAGAGCAGTCTCCAGTTTAATCATTTCTCTGTGATTACCTCCTTGCCACTGGCACACTCATCCAGAGGTGACACTTCTCATTTCTCATCCCTCATATGCTGCTTACTTCTCATCAGGGATATTTCATACCTATGCCTCATTTAGTGCATGTGGAGGCAAGACAACATCCTTGCTAAGTTTTCCTCCTTGGATACCATGCCCCTTTTAGAGGAGAAATGACTGCTCATATCCTGAGATATCTGTCTTCCTACTTGCCATGATTAACTCTTGATTCCTGGTCCTGCTACAAAACATTCAGCTGCTGAGGATTTGCTGACTCAGAGCTCTTCAAAACCTACCTGATTGGGCACCACCTTTATCCAGTTCAGAAAGAGGGAATGATCAGTTCCACTCAGACTTGCCCAGCTGTCTCAGGTAGGAATACAGCCCTTCTTTCTTTGAAAGGAGGAAAAGGCTGTACAAGATGGTAGTCAATATCTGTTATTGTGAGAAAAAAAAATATAATTGTGGGCTAACTCAGAATTTTCCTGCATAAAACCTTGTATTGGTACATGGGAAGTGGTTGGTCTCTTTTTGTCACTGGAAAAATAATAGTAGCCAGTATCGAATATCAAGAGCCCTATTCATAGCCAATAAACCACCAAACTGAGGTTAAAAAAAAATATTAGGGATGCACATCACAGTCAGTAAGTAAGAAGCTGTGTTGTTGTCTTTGTGAGCTAGCCAGAGTTAGCAAAATTAAGTCAAAAAAGTAGTGAAGACAAAGCAACTTGTGTATTAGATTAATTTAGGAAGTTGAATTCAAGCCTGTAAAGGAAATTAGTTCATCTCATGACTACTTTTGGTTCACTCCCACTCATACCGAAGGGAAGATAATGCATATGGGAGACAGAGAAACTTGACACACTTGTATTTCTTTACCTGTCCACTGCTGACAGAACCATGCAGTGTGACTACAAGTAATGGTTAACTTCAAAGCACTAAAAACTGATTGTTGAGCATGCGCCATCCTTTCTGCACATCAGCAGGCAGTTCCTGGAGCAGCCACTGGCCCAAGCCCAACTCATCTGTGTTCCACCCTTCACAATGTGGTCATTACATGAAGGAATGATGGTGTAATCCCTCCCCATCATGTCCACCAGCATAAACATGAGATTCAATTTTACTGTAGTCACGCTGTCAGTATAGTATTTCCCAGTCAATAATATCATCCAGGCCCATGACTGTCTCTTCCTAAAAAGCCTTCAGGTCTGGACCCTAATTTTCAAAGCTTACATCCCAAAGCCCTCTCAACACTGAGTGCTTTTAACAAAAGCAATAGTCTTGCACATCTATGCTAATATTAATTTGTTTGGTGGTTGTAAGGGAAGTGTCGTAATGTGCAGAATGACCTAGAAATGAGTAGTGTCTGAAGACCATAGTCTGGGCCTGGTGGCTTATTCATATAAATAAATCAGAAGGATCAAGCAGAGCATGCAGGGTCTTTTGAGTCTTTCTGTGTAGCCTGTCTGAGCAGCAAGCCCTTAACCACACACTCAAGCAACCTCTGGGAGCATTCAGTCAATTTGGGCAACTAACAACCTGTCCTAAAACTGAGGCTGCAAGCATTTCCCATCCTGAAAAGGCTGTCAATTAACTAAGCCAAAAGCTCATGGAAATTCTCTCACTTGTAAGGTGATCTTTAGAACACCTTTTGTGTAACTTTATTTTTAGTTGTTTAGTAGGCAGGCATTTTTGTAGGGGCCTTAATCAGACAAGGGGTCTATGAGGCTATTCTGAGAGAAGGCATTTAATTAATTCCAGACTTTTCCTCCCTCTTTTGTTCAGCTTAGGTATACCATCTACATACCTATCTATAACAACTGAGGTAAAAATCCTATGAGATTTCTAAGAAGTTTGGTTCATCTTTCATTAGATTGCAGCAGAACTGAACCATATCCTCTCACTACTAGACATTTTTTGAACGAGGCTTTTCCCAGTCTCACTGGGGTATGTATGCGAGCTGGAAAGCTTCACAATGCATTAAGATTTCATGAGGGCCTAATTCTGTTTTCTCTTACACTGCCCTGAATCTTCAGCACACAGCACTTCCACTTCGATGTAACATAACTGAGAATACAGCAAGTCTCTGAGTAGCCAAGTTCCACTACATGGACCATCTAAAAAAACTGGTGTTCTAACCATGCAAGTTGTGATTTTTATCTTGAAGAGATAAAAGTTTAGTGTCATTACTTCATTCCTATTAGATAAGTGTTTTGGAGACAGGAAAGATATTTTGGCTTATAGTCAAAACTTTTATTCCAAATGTGCTCTCTTCTTTGTTTTAACAAAAAAAAAAAAAAACACCAAAACATGAAGAAGGCATTTTGAGAGATCTTATTTTGTATTAAATGGTCAATGTCTCTTCATTATTTTGGCAGGGCTAGGTTGCATCTGGTGTTTCTGTATGAAGTCATGTAAGCAGGCACAGAATTCTCATCTTGTTCTGCCATATGTCAGGATCTAATTGCAGATTTTGTGCTTTCACGGGAGGTACAAGCTCAGAACAGGACGTAGACATCTTGTAGACCTGGGACCAGCAAGCACTTTTGCTCAACATACCATCAGTAGAACAGTACACAACACAAAACATAACATCGTAGAATCAATTCCCTGCCCCCGCAAATAGCTGTGAGCACCTCAGTTTCTCCTATTCCTGTCTGTAGCATACAATTTAGTCACCAGGAAAATAAATGCTGTGGTTTTAAGTAAAGTACCTGATGAGAAACTGAGTAAATGGAGGAGTTCTTAATTAAGTAATTAGACAAGTAAGAGGGGAGAGGATTATATGATACAAAATTGTGAATACAATAGAAAAAGTAGGTCAGAAATTTCTGTTTTCCCTATATCATGACGCAAGAACAAAATGACATGTAATGAAGTTCAGAAGTGAGAAATTCAAAGCTAATGAGGGAATGGTTTCATGTAACCCATAATTATCTAGTGGAAGCCTTTCACTCCTGGAAGTCCTTGATGCCAAGGATTTATCAAGTTTAGCACTGAGACTAAACTATCCAGAATTATCAGAGATAACAACAGCTTTACAAAACAAATTAAAATTTGCTTCTGGTTTTAATCCAGCCTTAACTCTGAAAGTGAACTCCTTCAGCTTTGACACCTTCCTTTGAGCTATCTGGTAACGGCCACCATCTGAGATAGGTCATTGGAGCAGAGAGATCTGAGTCAGCCTGGTGATTCTTGCACTTTTATACCCATAGTAAAGTCTCCTTTATATTTGGTCTGAGGTGTGGGACAAAGTCCCATCCCAAGGACATTTACATGCTAGGCTTGCTCAAAGAGCTACAGCTCCCTGCAAATGAACACAGCAATGAACACAGTTTCTCTGCAGCGGTAGGAGATACCCAGCTGAAAGAGGATTCATCCCCTGCAACAACTATCAGCATTCTCAATGAGATTTTCAGAGGCATCCATCTTACCTGTCTTGGAAAATGGGCCATGTGTCTGTTGATCTCTAAGCCCCTGGGATCCTTCTCATGTCACCAGGAGCTCAAAGATCTGAGGCCTCATTATTACTGCTGTTCCATCAGAGCAGATCTGCTGCAAATGCACATTTTTTCTGCACCTTACATACTATTCCAGACATTCAAAGCCAACTCTCTCAACCTGACCCAAGTGTATTATGGTGCATAAATCATAAATTTGCTGAGGACAAGCTGCTTTATATTTTCAATCAACTTTTGGCTCATGTGTTTTAAGTGTGCTTAAGACTTTTACACACTTTCATCAAAACCAGATGATTCAATTATTTTC